GTTCGCTTAGGGCAGCTGGATCAAAGATGGCCCTTTTCCCCACAGCCATAGCACCTAGGGCTGTATCCTTTATTGCGGTCGCGTACTATAGCTGCTGCAACCTCTCTGATGCGATGGGAACGATGATCCTGCCGCACGGCTTCCACCTCCAGTGCATGGGCCAAGGCGTCTTTAAGCGTCTCGTGGTGCCCGAGCCTCACAGCAGCTCTGACTTCCAGGTCGCGAATGCCGTCGATGAATGTCTGCACCAGGTTCCCTTCAATGAGCGCAGGTACAGACTGGTATGCTTTTCGCACCAGCTTCTCCATCTCTAGAGCCCACTGCTGCAGGTTTTCGTTGCTGCGTTGCACGCGATCTCTAAGCTGCGCTCGAAAGACGTGTTCCAGGTGAGAGTCGCCATATCTAGCCTCCAATGCCTCAAGGAGCTGCTCGTAAGTCACTTCTATACCGAGAGCTTCTAGAACAGTTAAGGCCCGGTCGCGCAGGCTTAGTGTGAGAGCAGTCATGGCCTGACTTTTATTCCAGCCGTTTGCCTTCATAACAGCCTCGAATTGGATTTTGTAGGCCGCCCAGGAAGAAGTCCCGTCAAACGGCGGCACTTTTAATCCACGTACTGCAGGTGTTGTAGCTACTACGGGATGTGTAGTTCCATCCCCTAGTTTGAGATCGTCCAGCGTTTTCTTCATATCAGCCATCACGTTGTCAACCCTGTTGTTCACTTGGTCGATTTGGGTTTCAGCTTCCGACAGGTAGTTGTCATGCTGAGCAACCCTATCCTTAACCTCCTTTATCTCCTTCCCGAAGGTAGTGTGAAGATCCTTCATGAGGAGCATTTGCTCTTCCAACCGACGGGCCTGTTCCTCTTGTCCGCCCCGCGGCTGTTCTTCCAAACGACGGACCTGTTCTTCTTGTCCGCCCCGCAGCTGCTCTTCCAAACGACGGACCTGTTCCTCCTGCTGCTCTTCCACCAGACGGGCCTGTTCCTCTCGTCCGCGCTGCAGCCGCTCCTGTAGCATCGCCATCAGAGCACCTAAGTCAGGTGCCACAGACGTAGAAGCTGCTGACGAACCGGCTTCCGTGGCCGGCGGCTGGCCCCTCAGACATCTGCGGCGTTGCACCACCAAATCTCCTCTTGTCCGTCTCCTGCTGGCGTTGACTTCGGGTACGGACAGCCTCCATCTCGTCCTTAGGTATAATCGGCATGATTTTATCCCACTTCTGACACCAATTGTTACGAGCCTGAGGTGCGTGACAATAAAAAATGCCGATAAAATTACCTAAATTAACACTTTAATTTACTTTACACAAATTAAAACTTAAAACACTAATAATTAAACACACTAATTCACTTTATTCCGCTCCGAAGCTTCGCTTGTCTCGCCAAATCCAATACTGCCCCGATCGCGTATTGCAGCGCCTTTATATAGGGCTCTTCCACGAAAACATCCAGAATATTCCAGAATATTCAAGTAAATACGCGCGCCAACCGACCAAGCGCAGAAAGATCGAGTGTAGAGCTTCTAGAAAGTTTAGTTCTTCAATTTGATACTAGATGGCGCTGTCGGTTAAAAAAATTAGTTATGTCATTTTCTGGAAAGCTCTCTCCTCGCTGTTACCTGACACTAGATGGCGCTAGAGCTAGCATGCCATGAGATGAGATGTCAACTTAGCCGCGCAACGATAGCAATTTTGTACGTGGTAGAGCCATGCCGCAGCTATATTATGGTTGTAGTACGAATGGGTCGGCTCGACCGGGGAAGAACCACGCTCTCACAGAATTACAGCGTAAAATAGCAGCTCAATGCTGCTGTGTTTCGTATGGTGAGTGTAGAGATCCGGAGACCCTTGTCTGGCTGGCAACGCATCTGCATTTTAATTCTTAATCGAGGCTAAATGTAGATATCATTGGGCCACAGCATCCACTTACCATCAGGTGGACTGTGTACTCGTTTGTCAACCACATTCTATAAAAGAAAAATAAATAAATGTTGATTTACGACGTCCTCGGCGGTAAAAGAAAACGTTGCGGAAAAGTGTACGTGTTTAACTGGAAAAAATAATGCAGCAGACATAGTGAAGTTTACCAACGCACATCATTAAAATTAAAAAAGTAAAAGCCGATTTATTGCGCTAATGCGAAGTCATAATATGTAGATATATCGTAGAATTAATTTATTTTTATTTTTAGAAGTTCAATTTTCACTTAAATATTTTTTTCTCTAGCAAAACTTGTAAATAAGGTATCAGGATATTTATCAAAAACAACGAAATAAAACTTCCAAACCAGTTCTTAAGTTTTAATCAATAAACAATATGTACAGAATAAAATTAAATAAGCCGCTAGACAGCGGCGGTACACCTGGGTACTGGATACTGCGGAGTTTATTGGGAACCTCTTGTAGGCGTTTCACAAACAAACTTATCAAGACGTTTTAACACTTAACGTAAAGCAATTGGGGCCACAATTGCCTGTCCGGTTTTGTACAAGACACACCAGATGTGCCTGTGCCCTAACATGGCTATTTTCCCAAATGAAGTACAAATGCGTCATTTCGTATATTTAAAAAAAAAACTTAAAATATCAATACGCAGGGTTGCCAGATGTTTTCATCACTTCCCACGATTTATTTAATAATACCAATTGTAAATAGGCATAGGCATATGGTAAAAATATAATAATGACAGTAAAGCCAACAGCTAATGATACATTCATGCTTACAACGAAAACGCGCACTTGTAGAAAACATTCTCATTCTCAACCGATTCACCCACACATACACCAAGTTCTGTCAAATGATGAGGTATGATTACTGTTGGCTTCTGTAATTTTGTTGTTACTGTATATTGAAAATGTATTAATGAACTATTATTTTCATTATTCTTAACCTTAAAATTAAATTCAACTTTCGTATTATTCTACATAACTATTTATTTTATAATTTACTAGTTGTCCGGCCGGCTTCGCGCCGGCGATTTCTGGTTCTCGACAACAGCTCCACCTAGCGGGTCCAGTTGGAACCCAAACCATCCAGAGACCCGCTTAAACACACACAAAAATTTCATCAAAATCGGTCGAGCCATTTTTCAGTTTTTATGAGAATATCGGACAGAAATTGGTTTTCATATGTAGAGATAAAACCTTGTGCACTATGTTTTAAAATATTGATGCTATACAATAATTAAAAAGGAACCATAAAACTAATTACAAGATCATGCCTTAACTCAATTACTAAGTTAATAATAATAAAAATATCTGGCAGCCCGTCAATATCCTAGCTACACACAGTTAGTTAAGAACTTCTAATCCTCTAGCTTCAAAATTATTCGCCTATAAAAATTATGCATGAGTACCTTATCTATGAAAGCTCATGTGCGGTACATTAGTACTTTATAAAAATACTTTTTTCAAGTTTTTATACAAAGTGATTAGAACACATTACAACATAAACATTACTTACATTACACAAACCGCTTCAAATCCACAAACAGCTTTTATATATATTTTATAGTATTGTAAACTTAATGTTTTAGAACTTTGAACATTTTCCATTATAAGCAAAATCATACACAACAAACCAGTTTTCAGTAATTACAACAAGACTGTACAGAACTGCACCCATTTGAAATAAATGATCAAAATTGAATACAAAAAGTCCACTCTCATACGCAAAGTATACATTAATTTATATTTTAGTCAATACATTGCTTTTAAAATTTTATTTGTGAAAATAATAAATTCAAAGTATAATGTACCTATACCTACTTTGATATAATATTATAACCTCAATGGTACTTTGGTGCAATTCAATAATATGTATTTTTATTTCCTCAACTTGGATGAATATCAAACACGAGAAAATACTTTTAACTTTGTTAACACCATCAACACCATCCTAATGCCGATTTCATTTTTAGGGTTCCGTAGTCAACTAGGAACCCTTATAGTTTCGCCATGTCTGTCTGTCCGTCCTCGCTTAATCTCTGTGACCGTTAGCACTAGAAAGCTGAAATTTGGTACCAATATGTGTATCAATCACGCCGACAAAGTGGTAAAATAAAAATTGGATTTTTTTTATTAGGGTAGCCCGCTATATGTAAAGTGGGAAGTGATTTTTTTTTTATTTCAACCGTAACGTGTGATATATTGTTGGAAAGGTATTTAAAAATGAATAGGGGTTTACTAAAATCATTTTTTGATAATGTCAATAATTTCGGAAATAATCGCTCCAAAAGTAAAAAACAATGTGAAAAAAATATTAAAAGTAGAACTTTATAAGGACTTTCTAGGAAAATCATTTTGAACTTGGATGGAGACAACAGTACCCACTACCGAGAGCAGTTGCAAGAGCGCGGAGCGTTGCTGGAGCGCGAACATAATGGATACCCACCTTTAAACTCATAAGTGGGAACACTTATTGTGACGGACGGGAAACTACGGAACCCTACACTGAGCGGGCCCGACACGCTCTTGGCCGGTTTTTTATTATGTCTGACAGAATGCATGACATGATGATTTGTCATACTGTATATTACTAAAATATATTGCAATTGTATATTTAACATTAAAATATCCCTGAAATGAAATCTTTGCTACACTTCTCCGAATTTTGTACAAGGGTTTTAACCCTTTCAGCGCCAGAATATTTTGGTATGTTTATGCTGTATGCCGTCATACATATAAGCAGCTACGAGATAAATCGTACTTGGCATAGTAGAACATAAATCCATTCGACTATGCCGACTACGAGTATATTCGTATACGGCTATACTCGTAGTCGGCAAAGAAAATGGTATTCTTTCGTAATTTGGCGGGAAAACAGGAATCAACACGACAGGTTGCTTCCTGTTCGGGAGCTAGACACGAACTAACAGTGCAATTAGTTTCGGCCGGTTAGGGGACGTGGCTTCTAATCGAGTGGTGGCGTGTGAGTGACATTATTCAGTTTAGCTACGTAATGCAAAGGATGCGCTGTCGTAACAAGTAATTATCTGCATAAAAAATGGCTAAGCGATTAAGTGAACAAGAAATATCTGATTTAGCGAATTGTGATAGTAGTGACGAGAGTGGTGATGACTTCTCTTCGACAGATGAAGACGAATTGTATGTGCAACCTGATACAAGGGCTGAAAGTTCGTTTTCGGAGCGCGAACATGCCGAGTCTCGTTCAAACGCACAAGCTACACAACAAGCTATTACATTGCGATCCAATACTATTCAATTTTCTTCTTTATTAGATAGTAGTGGTGCTCCAGATACGTCTAACTCAGAACTTCTGCCAAGTTCAGAAGAAAATGTCCCTTTGGTAGGAGAAAACGAGAGTAATGAATGGATAGATATACCCTGGGAAATTGCAGACTTCCAGTTTTTAGGTCCCGAGCCAGGTGCGAAGATAGCTACTAATAAGAGCACAGCTCCTTCTATGTCTGCTGATTTGTTCTTCAACGACGAATTCTTGAAAAATTTAGTTTCGGAAAGTAACCGTTACGTCGCCAAAGTGCTTTCAACGCGTCGTTTGCGACGTTCGTCAAGATTGAAAGAATGGAGAGAAACGAATAAAGCCGAGATGAAGGTATTTATTGCTATTGTTTTACATATGGGTATCTTGCAATTACCTCAAAAACCACTATACTGGAGTAAGCATAAGTTATATGACGTTCCGCTTTTTAGAAGTTTGATGAGCCGTAATAGATTCTAGATACTATTCAGATTTTTCCATTTTTCAAACAACGAAGAAGTTGATGAAAGTGACCGTATTTACAAAATAAGATTTTTGATAGACCATTTCAACAAATTGATGCAAGATATTTATGCCCCGAATAAAGATTTATGCATAGATGAATCTGTAATGTCGTGGAAAGGAAGACTTTTTTTTCGAGTTTACATAAAAAATAAAAAACATAGATACGGCATCAAGATATATAAACTGTGTGAAAGTAACGGCGTAATACTGAAGATAACACTTTACACAGGCACATCAGAAGGTCAGGAAGGTGGACCAACTATAAAAATTATAACAGATTTATTAGACGAGTACTTGAATAAAGGTTACAAGGTATATACAGATAACTACTATAACTCCGTTGAGTTGACAAGAAAAATGAGTGCAAATGAAACTTACTTATGCGGAACTTTGCAATCAACCCGTAAGGGTAATCCAAAAGTTGTGACATCGGCAAAGCTGAAGAAAGGTAAGATGATTTGGAGAAGAAAGGGGGAAGTGGCTGTTTGCAAATGGAAAGACAAACGTGATGTTCTAACCATTTCAAATATGCATAATCCTGAAATGATAACTATCAGAAATCGCAGGAATCTACTTAAACTAAAACCTAATATTGTTGTTGATTACAATAACGGAATGGGAGGAGTAGACCACTCTGACCAAATGATTTCCATATGAGAGCATGAAAAAAACAAAATACTGGTACAAAAAGTACGCTATTCACATTTTTCAAATGTTTATACATAATGCTGCAAGAATTCATAATGGTCAATCTGGATTGAACAGATCGGAGAGAATACCTCTACTGAATTTTACTTGAAAATGTTATTATCCACTTGTTAGGCCAAAAGTATATTGTAGTCCAAAGAGGTTAATCAAAGTGGTCAAGTATTTCTTCAACATTATTTGGAATATATACCACCTACAGAAAAGAAAAGCAAGCCAACTAAACCTTGGTTGTGTGTACCAAAAATAAGACTCGCAAAGAAACAAGGTATTTTTGCCCACTGTGTTCAAAAACTCCAGCTTTATGTGTAGTTGATTATTTCATTTCTACTGTTAAAAAGACGGAATTATGTCTTCTTTTGTTTGTTTATACTACCACTCAGTACCTTATGTTTGTCATATCATAACTTTTTCCCATTAAAAGTTTGAAATTTGAAATTACCATGCGTTCAAATAATCAATATTTTTTTGTGTAGAAGGACCTACAAAATCTACGAATATATTCGTAGTCGGCACCATGGTGAAATCCCGCACTACGAGTTATCTCGTAGCTGGCACGCAAAGGGTTAATAACATATATTGTATGAAATTAAGAACATATATTGTAAGACCATAAAACCCTAATTACTGAAAAAGATGACGCTATCCATAACACAATGCGCAATCTTCTAACATTTTTGTATTATAATAAATCATTTCAAGAATGAAATATTTAGCCCCCCTTTTAATAAATTTGATTTAGTTTATTTAAAATGTCACATTTTAAACATACAAATGCATCACAATTTTTATAACTTCATTAAAAGAAAACAGCCTCTTTAACAAAACATTTACAATAAGTCTTCATCTTGCTTCTTACAATCCTATGCCCACTTAGAAGCTAGGGATGTTTACAAAAAACGGTACTGGATAGTAAATAGTATTTACAAAAAAAATATATCATTTTTCACATAGCATGAATGTATTGTGGCTGTGAAAGGAAAAGGAAAGATCTACCACCGAGCAAGGTTTTCTGCCTGGGAAGCGGCCAACCCTCCGAGTAGTAGTACGGAGCTATTTTATGTATCTGTTTTCACATTCTGTTTTTACTTTGAAACTTTGATAGCGCGATTTAGGCTTCAACGTGTTTCGTTGCGATGCGACAGCAGCGCCGCCGCAGTTTGTTGCAGGAAGGACCACTCACTCACAGACAACCAGCATAAAATAGCAGCACAATGCTGCTGTGTTTCATACACTAATGAGAACCAGAGGCCTTTTTAACACGCTTTTATAAGCTTCGCATCTATCTATCTATCTATGTAATGAAATATTCGCACTCGTATCGAGGCTCGATTACAACACAATAATTTAATAACTGATTAGAATCACAAGGATAAAATAAAAACACTATATTAGCTTGACCTGTATGTATGTACATAATATTAATGTAATGGAATTTTGTAATTCAACTTTCACCCACATCTAGAATACTTGATTGATTGGAAATTTTGCAGGTGCATTAAGAACCGATGAAAACAAAAAAAGTGTTCTCACTAAGATGATCACAGTCCATGATACATGTGTTTTGTTTAAGTTTTTCGAACTCCAATATTATTTTCCATATAGTCCTTACACAATACATTCCAATTCTTAATCGAGGATAGCTGTATATATCTATGGACTACCATAAGGTGAACTGAATGATTGTTTGTCACATGTATAAAAAATATTTTGTTCACCTCTGTGCAAATACATAATTGTACATTTATGAATTCTTATGTAGAAAATTAGAAAAACACTTCATCTAACAGTAAAAGTTACTGAAATTGCTATACACTTAGGATATGACAACCTGATAGTTGCTCTATAACTATCAATAAGTGATACCAATACATATTAATAAGTGTTTTGTCAGTTTATTACTGAACTGTATGTAAATAAACATGTTTTTCAAAGTTTGATAAAATATCTAAGATTATATTATTTTGTACAAAGGTATGTTTATCTAAGTTCAAGTGCATGTTCTCAATAAAAAGTGTGATGCTAAACTTCCTTCACTTAAAATGTATGTTGTATAACCTATATCCATTAACTTCATAAAAACTTGTCAGTAAATGTGGCAACCCTACCTCACTTCTTTGGTAAAGCTAATTTTACACCACTACAATACATAGGATAGAACAACTATTTTAGGATATTTCCGCGCAGTAGCGGTGTAAGAATATCAACTACCCCATATTGTTGAAAGGGGCAACCGAGGGAAACAAACAGCAGCATCTTCCTAACAACAACTAAAAAACAAAACCTGCCGTTAACAACTCGCATGGCAACAATGACAAATATGTCAAAACAAAAGTCATTGATCGCCTCATAGGGGAGGCAAAGACTTATTATGCTGTAATCGTAACGTAATTGTACCTCCCACTATTAACATCAATTATATCAATGAAACAAATACATATTTTGTTAATTCATTTGTGCTGGTGCAAGGAATATAATATTATGGACTCAAGATCTGACAGAACTCATCCTTTATTCTAAACTTGCTGGATAACAAATTCATATATAATTGTTCAATTGTATTGTAGTACAGAATCATAGAGATTGCCAACATAGTGAGTATAACAGTTGAATCCTAGTGATTAACAAAAATGTAGGTGTTGACAGTTGCACCCATAGCATAACACTAAAAAAACTAATTTTAGTACAGAATCATTACAGCACCATAATGGTGAGTTACTGGTCTATTAGTTGCAAAAATTTTAACAACTATTTATTTTGTTTATAATAAACCTTTTATATTTGATGTCTGTGTATTCAATTCAATTCAATTTTATTTGCCACAATATAGCGCATAATATAATGATCTTATTAGTTATTAGAAACTTTACATTCAACCGTGATAATGGTGTGCATGTATCTTTGCTTATATATGAAAAAACTATTGTATTGTTTTGTAGCGGTGTAATTTTTTTCTTTCTTTCCGATAATTATGATCTATGTTTTGTTATACATCCATTTTTATATTTCGCGTTTGTATCTATGTATGGTGTGCTAGCTATTTAAAATTGTGTAAAACGGGTTTCGGACTACGCTATAATATAATAGCATGTAGTACATATATAGCTCATAGCACAACAATATCGCGCACCATACATTGTTATGGACACATTCACACTGTACTGTACTATATATTATTGGTGTGCTATGAGCTATAATACTATATGCTATTATATTATAGCGTAGTCTGAAAGCCGCTTTAGGCATTTTTTAACAACTATAACTGGGGCAACGTCCAATGTAACATATAAGTGAACACATTACAGAACTTTAATCCAGGTTTTTTAGGAATGTAAAAAATGTGATGCTTTAATAATATTTTGTAAATTTACAAAGCAATGTAATTATAACTGTTTTATGTAAATCAAAACTATAGGTACATTATGTTATGTCAAAAATGAATTCTTTAAAAAAATATTTAGATGAGTATTGTTGTACAGAATAAGAGTGACAAATGAACACATTCCACTTGATGGTTGGTGGATGCTGTGATCCATAGACAGCTACGTTTATTCCCAATAAGAATCAAAATGCAGTTGCATTGTCATCCTTGCGGACTGAGATGGAATGCCTCATTTTCAGTTAAAGAGGTTTATTACATAAACAATGTTTACATTTATACAAAATTACCTTGAACAGACCTTATTTTACGGTACATACAGAAGTAATGGGTATCTTTGTCGCAATTCAAGTCACAGTATTTACTACACTCCAGTGTGGGTCACTGGGTCACTAACTAGCACTCGGCTCGCTCGGTGTAGGTGCAGGCAAGGATGTAGAAGCAGTCGTGGGGGCGGGCGGCGAAGCGCGCGTAGTACTTGGTGAAGGCGGCGGCGCCCGCGTCGCAGTACACGAGGCTGAGCGCGTTGTTCTGCGGCGGCACGGTGACCAGCGCGTCCGGGCAGTCGAGCTAGTCCTCCGGCGCCACGTAGCTGGTGTGCCCGCCGCACAACGGCCGCGATACGCCCGCGTGCAGCACTGTACACTAGTCACTGTGGGTCACTGGGTCACTGTGCACTGTACACTAGCACTCGGCTCGCTCGGTGTAGGTGCAGGCGAGGATGTAGAAGCAGTCGTGGGGGCGGGCGGCGAGGCGCGCGTAGTACTTGGTGAAGGCGGCGGCGCCCGCGTCGCAGTACACGAGGCTGAGCGCGTTGTTCTGCGGCGGCACGGTGACCAGCGCGTCCGGGCAGTCGGGCTCGTCCTCCGGCGCCACGTAGCTGGTGTGCCCGCCGCACAGCGGCCGCGACGCGCCCGCGTACAGCACGGCCTCCAGCCGCGCGCTGCCGTACGCCTCGCGCGACGCCGGCAGCAGCTGCAACAAGCCACCAGATTTACTATGCACTAAGCACTTCTATGTAAACTAATAGACCGCAAACTAGCGGTGTAACCGTAGGTATTGTAAGATTCAATAGAGGGTAATTGAAACAGGAGACGGGCAGCAACAAATTATAAAAATCTGCAATATCCAACATGCCTGTCAGTGGTGGCAACTATGGCAAAATCCCTCCCATGAAACATTAATGTTAATTTTTTTGCTAATGTTCAGATATGGACTTTTGTAGGGTATAATAGATGGTTACTACTAAACCGGCAATGCAGAACAAGACTGTACCACAACTGTGGATCGTGCGGGCTGGGACAGTTTTTGTTCTGTATTGCTGACCTTATAGGCAACGCCACGAGTCATGGAAGTGCGCAGAAGCGAAAAATAGGTGCAGGCACCGTGAGGTGTGAAGTACGGTGAAGCGAAACCATAGCAAAGGCCACGCGCTACTCCCAAGTAGTTTCTCCCTGCGTCCCGTCGCCCGCGCACCTTCTTGTGTCGTCTTGTGTACTATCGATATCGAAAGTGTTAGCGACTACCTGTTATAAAATTTTAAATTTTCGCGATTATTTTTGTACTTTATAAATAATAAAATAAAAATAAAATAATTTATTTTTCTTCACAAAACTTAAATTAATGACATAGTTGATTTGGATCCATTTAAGCAGGTAATGCCTGTGTTTGGAAACCCCGCTCTGCCCTATATAAACATATTTTTTTTTAATTTAAAAACCAAAAATGGCAAAAACAAATTACTCGACTTTAACAACCAAAATTTACAAAAATTACAAAGTGTATATGTGTGCGTGCGTGCATGCGTGCGTGCGTGCGTGCGTGCGTGCGTGCGTGCGTGCGTGCGTGCGTGCGTGCGTGCGTGTGTGTGTGTGTAAAAATATTGTTCTATAATATTTTCAAATAGTGTGCAAATATTTATTACTTTATAAATTACTTTCGGACTATTTAAAATAGCGTAATTCGTAGTATATTATATAAAGTTGTAAATATTTTGTTATTTTCTACAAGATGATTTTTTTACAAATTATTGCATGTAAAATATCCTTATAATCGAAGGCTATCGCATAATATAGTTTAAACAGCAATTACTAATACAAAAATACAAATACAAAATATTTTATTTCTTTAACAAGTGTACATAAAATGCAGAATATTATTTAGAAGCATTTAAAACCTAACGATGATATATAAATATATCGTTCCGTTTTCGTGGAGACTTTGATGTATAGTTATAATGTTGACCTTTGACTTTTTACATATTAAAATGCCATAATAAATGTTTCATTTTTTTGCTTGATTGTACATGCGCAGTGGACGCTATTTAATTTCATCTTTCGTGGCGCGACCCATACTAAGCAATGTAGACCCAGTAATATCTGTGTTACAGTACCGGTTGCCGCTATGTTGTTTCGATAATATCAGTGCTGAGTAGGCGCTATTTTAGTTCCTAAATATTTTTTATAGAATAAGTGCAGCAAAAGAGCACACAGCCCATCTGTTGGTAAATGTATACTGTGGCCTATATTAAGAATACGGTGACATCTGTACTCAATTAAGAATCAAAATATTGATAACCTGAGGACTAAGATGGAATACCTTGTATCCAGTAAAAAGAATCTTTAGTTCTCAACACTCACCATACTAAACACAGCAGCATTGAATTGCTATAATTTACGGCGGTATTCTGTGAAAACGTGCTCCTTCCCTGGTCGAGACGACCCATCCACACGCAAATAAGTTCAATAAAATTGATAATATAAAAACTACATACAGTGTAATCTCCCGGCCGCCATTGCTGCAGCTCCAGTCGACTGTAGTTGGTGAGTTGTAAATCCGTGCAGTCTGCTAGCATTCGAACAAATGTTGTACTGCTCATGAGGTGCAGAAGCTCGTGTATCACACCACCTTCAGATTCTGCCCACTGCTGGGAAACGCGACGGTAATGACGCTGCTGCGCTGGCCCTACTTCCTCCCATTCCACATCTAGAATGTAAACATAATTAAGGTGACTTCAGTATTAATTCTATTGTATGCAAGTCATGGAAGTTTATTGTGCCTCTAACTTCGTACATGATGCAAGTGATATGCACCAATGGGTTACTCTGTTAACAGTTATATAATATTAATATATACTAAAGAGATATAAAACATCTTCAGCATTTCTAAAGGAGATGTATGAAATTGGATGCTTGACATCGTTCAGAACAACAAAAACAAAAATATGTAACTAAAAAAATGATAAATTATAAGCATAGTTAATTTTTATTTATCTATGCAGTACTCGGGACAAACATAAAGTCATTTTTAAACTGAAAAACACAAGCTAGTGCTTTTACTATAAGCTGAAACAAAACGTTATTTTTTATTTATTTATTTACACTTTATTGCACCTTAATAAAAAGGATTACAAAGGGCGGACTTAATGCCATTAGGCATTCTCTCCCAGTCAACCCGGGACGTGTGGAAATTATGTGATAGGTGACAAAATAAAATGAACAATAGAGTAAAACAACGAAAAAAACTACTGATAAACTTAAAAACAAACTAATATTATACATATAAATACCATAAACTTATATACTCCAAAATATAATACAGATAATATATATAATATATACATACATATTCATAGATACATAAATATATACAAATAGATATATAATATAAACCTATAAATAAAATAACAACAAAGGTAACCAAAATTAACCATATTAACTATCATCTAATATTTTCATAAAATGCTTATGTACCAATCTTTTAAAGGCAGTCTTATTAGATGTTTTTCTGACGTCATCGAGCAAGGAGTTCCAGAGCAGTGCAGCCTGAATTGTGAAGATTTACCAACAAAATTAGTAAAATGTAGAGGGATACTTAGTTTATTATTATATGAGGAACGCAGAGTTCTATCATGCGTTAGGGAAATATATTGAAATTTCTCCTTGAGATAAGAAGGAGTGGATGGATCATTTAAGATAGAGAAGAGAACAAGCAAAATTCTAGAGTCACGCCTCTGTTTAATAGTGAGCCATTTTAGGCGAGAGCGATAGTGAGAAATATGATCGAATTTACGGAGATTGAAAATGATGATGAAATGAATAATTAAAATATTATATTATTTACTTTGTCTATAGCAATAAATGATAATAATGACGGCTTTTTTAATTACGATTTTGGGGTTGAATACCTGTCATTTAAGCCACGACTTCATTTCATTCGGGATCTTCGTATTTATAGACATGACAATATGCTTTTCCTTCACAATATCCTGTGTTAATTGCGAAGTTTTTGTGAGATTTTGACGATAGCTTAATCCAGCTGATAGTCTAAGACGACAGTCACTCAAGTTCATAAGGCGCCTAAGTGATTAAAATAACTTGAGGTTTATATCAACATCGAAGCACTTGTTTCGTCGTTTTCTCTAATAATTAACATGCGCAGACACTAAATACACAAAATCGCATCACTTTTACGTATCAAAATCCACTTCGAACTATTATTTAAATGATAAAACAGCATTAACAATCCGTCGACGGTTAAGACACTTTCGAACTTTGTCACTCAGAATACATCCGTTCTCGTCTCATCCTAGGCTCTTTTGGATGTCCACAGACAGCTCTTACGAGTTTCCAGAACATTTTAATATTTGCATGGAAGTTATCCGATATTATATCTTATATTCTATCATTCTTATCCGTTCTTTCTTGCTTTTTCCTTTCAACTACTTCTTTTATTCTCTTATTTAGACGTCTAAAGTCTGCCTTTTTTCTTTCAATCTCATTATGAATAGCGCCAGAATTACCAGCTTTGGTTGTCAATAAATCTAACCATGCTCTCTTCTTTGCTTCAATTTCCATCCATACCTCATCATCCCACCACAACATATTTTTTTCCTTTCATTTATACTCTTACACCACATACTTCGGTGGCTGCATTCACTAAACCTTTCTTAACATTATCCCACACAGTCTTCAAGTCTTTTATCCACAATTAGTATTTTTCCTCAATCTACATTTATACTTGTCTTACAAATCATAAAAAAAAACCCAAGTCCTGCATAAACACGATTTATTGACATACATAGAAAAAGTTTAGATCTTCAAAATAAGACATATTTGTACTTTGTTCTCGCCGGACCCAAGCATGTATGGAATCAAGTTCATCTCCTTTATAATACTATACAAATAACTTCTTTTGAAAATAAAAACAATAAGGGACTCACGTACCTTGCGGTACCCAGAAGTGTATATCAGACTAATTTAAAATACTACGTAATTTTATTAGTAATTACGTTATCCGAAATCTATATAATATTTTATTACTATGACCTTATTTTATTACTATAACGATATTTTATTACTATGACCATATTTTATTACTATGACCATATTTTATTACTATGACCATATTTTATTACTATGACCATATTTTATTACTATGACCATATTTTATTACTATAACCATATTTTATTACTATGACCATATTATGTTACTATAACCATATTTTTCAATTCTGATCTGCTCATTTGACTAAAAATATGATTTACTTTATCGAAAGCTTTACTGATATCTATAATATATTGTCTACACTTATAAAAAGCATGCTTTTGATTGTGATTGTATGACATATCGAAACTTCTGTCTTTAAAGAATTGTACAGATTATATCCTAATCTGTCCATGTCTTAAGCAAATAAATTTAATAAATTGTAATGTAGGGTAGTAGGTTAAGACTGAATATATAGGTGGCGGGTAAATTAAGATAATACAGGGAATTCATTATGGAATAAACAGTTATAGATTGCGTTACGTTCTTTGTGTTCTCTCCGGCTTTTATATACATCACATTGGCGACGAGGATAAAAACGTAGTTTTATTGTGTTTTTAATCGTTGTGAGTAAAAGTTTACAAGTTAATTCGAGGACAATGTCGATTGGAAAAGTGAACGAGTTCGATGTAAAAACCGGGGTGTGGTCGTCGTATGTCGATAGACTTGAGATGTATTTTACGGCAAATAAAATAAGTAGTGATCTCAAGTTGCCCACGCTAATAGCGGTCATGGGCGATGAGGCCTACGAGTTGCTAGTGAACCTGGCTAGCCCCGTGAATCCGTCGGAATTAAAATACGACGCCGCCATTAGTCTATTGCGCAACCACTTACAGCCGGCACCATCCGCGTTAGCGGAAAGGTATCGTTTTAGACAAAGGAGGCAAGCAGCGGATGAGAATATAGCAGAGTACGTAGCAGAGTTAAAAAAATTAACACGTCACTGCAAACTGGGCGACGGTCTTAGTGAAAGTCTACGGGATCAATTTGTCTGCGGATTAAGGAGCGATGTTATTCGGCAGAGGCTGTTTGCGGAGGATGACACATTAAGTTTCACCAATGCGATAAAGATTGCCAGCTCGTTAGAGGCCGCGGAGCGGAACGCTGCGGCGGTAGATGCAACCGAGTCAGCAACATCAGGAAGAGATATGGCGGGGGTGCACTCGCTGGTGATTGGGAAAAATGGACCGCGGAGAACGTTGGGGGGAGGCGGGCGCGGAATGCGCGGAGACCGCCAGCCACAACACAATCGGCCGGGATCGTCTGCAGCTGTAAGGAGGCCCGATGCAATTAGCAGTCAAAATTGCAGCGGATGCGGAGGGACAGGCCACGGTTATGAGGATTGTCGGTTCCGGGAATACGTGTGCAGCAGGTGCAAGCGCACGGGTCACCTACGACGCGTGTGTCCGGGACAGGGCGCGGCATGTGTTCGCACAACCAGGCATACCGCTTGTCATCAGGCAGACGTGGCACGGCATGATGAAGACGGGGGTCAATTAGAGGAGTTTCATCACCTATGTTTAGGTGACTATAAGGCGGTGAGTTTGCCAGTGACTGTAAATAATAAAGTCATCAATATGGAGGTTGATACGGGAACGGCAGTGTCATGCATTAGCGAACAAACTTATAAGCTATATTTTAGTACCATTAAGTTAGATAACACAAGTGTTAGTTTGAAGTTCTATGACGGTTCGTCACTTAGACCTTTGGGGTTAATCACACCGGAAGTTTGTTACGGTGGAGAGAAAAAAAGATTAGAATTGTTTGTTGTCAAAGGAGGAACCACGTCCTTGTTGGGCAGGCAGTGGTTATCTGAATTAAAAATAAAATTACCATTATTTACCAACTGCCATAACTTGCAGAGTAACCGAGGTAAATTAGATGATCCATTGAAAAATTTGTTTTCCAGATATAAAGAATTGTTTAATGGAGGGCTGGGACGGTACACGGGCGGCAAGGCGACGTTAAGAATCCGCGAGGGGGCAGCGCCGGTGTTTCACCGCGCGCGGCCAATACCGTATGCGCTGCGCGAGCGCGTCGACGCCGAGCTGGACGCGATGCTGCGCGACGGCGTCATCGAGCCCGTCGACTGCTCCGACTGGGCCTCGCCGCTGGTACCGGTAAACAAAGCTGACGGTTCGTTGAGAATTTGTGCTGACTATAAGGCGACGATAAACCCTGTTTTGTTAGTTGATCGATATCCCTTACCTAGAGTTGAGGATTTAATTGTTAGGTTGAGTGGGTCGAAATATTTTTCAAAAATTGATCTGTCTCAAGCCTATAATCAGATAGAGCTAGACGATACTAAAAAGTTAACCGTAGTTAATACGCACCGCGGCTTATTTCAGTATAATAGGTTAGTGTACGGGCTAGCATCGAGTGCTGGAATATTTCAACGTATTATGTATAATTTGTTAAAGGACATCCCCAATGTCGAAGTATTTTTAGACGACGTCATAATCGGCGGGAAAAATGAGTTCGACCACCTTCAAGCCGTAGAAGCTGTCTTTAGCAGGTTACATAAGAACGGATTGAAATTAAAAAATCATAAATGTATATTTTTTGTAAACGAAGTGCAGTTTTTAGGGTATGTACTTAGTAAAGACGGAGTAAAAACAGACCCGAAAAAGATAGAAGCAATTGCTAAGCTACCTAGGCCTAGTAACGTGACCGAGGTACGGTCTTTTTTGGGTTTAGTAAATTTCTACGCAAAATTTATTAAAAACATGAGTAGTAGGCTCGTACCATTATACCAATTACTGAAAAACGGTCAAAATTGGTTTTGGTCGAAGGAATGTGAGCGCGCGTTTGTTGAAGTCAAAAATGTATTAATCAGCGCGGAAGTATTAGCTCACTACGACCCCCAGCGGCCGGTTATAGTAACGTGCGACGCGAGCGCCAGAGGGATAGGGGCCGTGTTGTCGCAGCCGAGCGACGACGGCAGTCGCGAGCGCCCCGTGGCTTATGCGTCACGCACGCTTAACGACGCCGAGAAAAACTACTCGCAGATACATCGCGAGGCATTAGCGATTATATTTGCCGTAAATAAATTCCATCAATATTTGTACGGTCGGCATTTTACTCTGCGCACCGATCACAAGCCGCTAGTGTCCATTTTTGGACCGAACACAGGTATACCAACTATGGTAGCGAGTCGGATGCAACGGTGGGCAATTATTTTATCCGCTTATTCGTTTGATATTGAGTACATACGTACCGATGTGAATGGAGCGGACGGCCTGTCGCGTCTGCCGCTGTCGTCTAGTAAGATGACTCATGCGGCGCCCGAGCAAACGTATTTGCATTTCGTTCAGCAATCGTTGTTGTTAGATTATAATAAAGTTAAAAATGAAACCGCTCGGGATCCAATTCTCTCGAAGGTTATTAGCTATATTCGGGATGGTTGGCCAGGGGAATGTAATATTAAGGGTTTACAACCGTTTTTTAATCGAAAGAATGAATTATATGAGGAACTAGGCTGTGTGATGTAGGGGCATAGACTAGTTGTTCCGGAGGCCTGTAAGGAAAAAGTTTTATGTATGATTCACGAACCTCATATGGGCATTGTCAAATCCAAGGCTATAGCTCGAAGCTATGTTTGGTGGGCCGGGGTGGACGAGGCGGTGGAGCGGATATGCCGGGAGTGCGAGATATGCGCGGCGCAAGCGGATGCTCCGCCAAAACAGACGCCTCGTATGTGGCAATGGCCCAATCGTCCTTGGTCAAGGATACATTTAGATTTTATGGGGCCCGTTTTTGGAAAAACGTACTTGGTAGGGGTCGATGCGATGTCAAAATGGCTAGAAATCTATCAAGTAGCGAGTACGGCAGCCACGGGGGTAATAGATAAGTTAAGGGAACTTTTCAGTCGTTGGGGACTACCCAAACAAATCGTGACGGACAACGGTCCCCCGTTCTCAAGTATAGAATTCAATAACTTCATGTGCAGTCACGGTATCGATCATATTTTCACGGCTCCGTATCACCCTGCTTCGAACGGTTTAGCTGAAAACGCGGTAAAAACCTTGAAGCGGGTTATAAAGAAAGCGGTGCAGGAAAAACAAAACGTAGACAGGGCACTACAAACTTTTTTTGCTATATTATAGGAATACGGAGCATTCAACCACCGGCGAGAGTCCCGCTATGTTATTGTTAGGTAGACGACTGCGCACTAAGTTAGATATTTTAAAACCAGACAGGGAAAACAGGATTTATAAGGTGCAACGACACCAGAAAGACTTAGCCAAAGGAGGAGACAGGAAACTGAATCCTTCGGAAGATGTTTGGTATAGACAATACTTGAAAGGGGAAAAGTGGGGCAGTGGTCAAGTAGTAGACGTTAGGGGTCCTAATAGCTATACAATTAAGGGAAAAGGTGGCGAAATAATTCACAGACATATAGACCAATTAAAAAGGAGATCTTTAAGGGCATCTATGACATGTCCTTACAATGATCCTCAGCCAGGTTGCAGCACAAATTCAACCAACGAGCCGACGGTGACACCAGAGGTGGGAAAGGCTCAGCCGGGTCCGTCGGCGGATCGGGATGACCGGGGGGTGGTAGAAACCTCAGAGGCTGAAATCGGCTTAAAGGAGTCGGCAAGGGAGACGACCAGTGAGAACCCGGGTTCACAGGCGTATCAGGATACCTTGCCAAACGTTGTACCGCCCACAAAGCCTCGGAGTCGCCCTATAAGGCAATGTAGACTCAAAAACCTTAATATTGATTAAGCGCTGATACAATAATGTTAAGTAATTAAGTTATATTTAAGATTAGCATAATAATAAATAAGTGTAGAGGAGTGTAATGTAGGGTAGTAGGTTAAGACTGAATATATAGGTGGCGGGTAAATTAAGATAATACAGGGAATTCATTATGGAATAAACAGTTATAGATTGCGTTACGTTCTTTGTGTTCTCTCCGGCTTTTATATACATCACATAAATAATAAACAAATAATTAAAAATTAATATTAATATTTCAAACACTGTTGCGTAAGTAGAACGTCTACATTAAACGGTGATCTATTAACGATGACAATGATGGCTAAATCAGCAGCAGCAGCGTATGGTCGATCACACTCCATCTGCGACTGCACTCGCAGCAGCAGGCAGCAGCTAGACACCTGCTGGTAGCGCTGCGGCAGCAGCACGTCGCGCAAAACACCTCGCGCGCACTCTATATCTGCGACTGCACTCGCAGCAGCAGGCAGCAGCTAGACACCTGCTGGTAGCGCTGCGGCAGCAGCACGTCGCGCAAAACACCTCGCGCGCACTCTATATCTGCGACTGCACTCGCAACAGCAGACAGCAAGTAGACAAACGACATGTACGTACCGGGGCGAGCCAGCGCGTGCAGCAGCTGCTGGTAGCGCTGCGGCAGCAGCACGTCGCGCAAAACACCTCGCGCGCACTCTATATCTGCGACTGCACTCGCAACAGCAGACAGCAAGTAGACAAACGACATGTACGTACCGGGGCGAACCAGCGCGTGCAGCAGCTGCTGGAAGCACTGCGGCAGCAGCACGTCGCGCAAAACACCTCGCGCGCACTCTATATCTGCCACTGCACTCGCAACAGCAGACAGCAAGTAGACAAACGACATGTACGTACCGGGGCGAGCCAGCGCGTGCAGCAGCTGCTGGAAGCACTGCGGCAGCAGCACGTCGCGCAAAACACCTCGCGCGCACTCTATATCTGCCACTGCACTCGCAACAGCAGACAGCAAGTAGACAAACGACATGTACGTACCGGGGCGAGCCAGCGCGTGCAGCAGCTGCTGGAAGCACTGCGGCAGCAGCACGTCGCGCAAAACACCTCGCGCGCACTCTATATCTGCCACTGCACTCGCAACAGCAGACAGCAAGTAGACAAACGACATGTACGTACCGGGGCGAGCCAGCGCGTGCAGCAGCTGCTGGAAGCACTGCGGCAGCAGCACGTCGCGCAAAACACCTCGCGCGCACTCTATATCTGCCACTGCACTCGCAACAGCAGACAGCAAGTAGACAAACGACATGTACGTACCGGGGCGAGCCAGCGCGTGCAGCAGCTGCTGGTAGCGCTGCGGCAGAAGCACGTCGCGCAAAACACCTCGCGCGCTTTCTATATCTGCCACTGCACTCGCAACAGCAGACAGCAAGTAGACAAACGACATGTACGTACCGGGGCGAGCCAGCGCGTGCAGCAGCTGCTGGAAGCACTGCGGCAGCAGCACGTCGCGCAAAACACCTCGCGCGCACTCTATATCTGCCACTGCACTCGCAACAGCAGACAGCAAGTAGACAAACGACATGTACGTACCGGGGCGAGCCAGCGCGTGCAGCAGCTGCTGGTAGCGCTGCGGCAGCAGCACGTCGCGCAAAACACCTCGCGCGCACTCTATATCTGCCACTGCACTTGCAACAGCAGACAGCAAGTAGACAAACGACATGTACGTACCGGGGCGAGCCAGCGCGTGCAGCAGCTGCTGGAAGCACTGCGGCAGCAGCACGTCGCGCAAAACACCTCGCGCGCACTCTATATCTGCCACTGCACTCGCAACAGCAGACAGCAAGTAGACAAACGACATGTACGTACCGGGGCGAGCCAGCGCGTGCAGCAGCTGCTGGTAGCGCTGCGGCAGCAGCACGTCGCGCAAAACACCTCGCGCGCACTCTATATCTGCGACTGCACTCGCAACAGCAGACAGCAAGTAGACAAACGACATGTACGTACCGGGGCGAGCCAGCGCGTGCAGCAGCTGCTGGTAGCGCTGCGGCAGAAGCACGTCACGCAGGCACACCTCGCTCGCGCGCTCCATCTGCGACTGCACTTGCGCGCGGATCCGCGGAGACATGTACGGCGCGTCCACCCACTGGTTTAGTAACACCTGCACAGAATAATCGCCTAATAATATAACTAAAGAAAAATAATTAAATGCTTCGTTAAAAATTAAAAGAAATAAATTCCAGTTCAAAGGAGATTTTTTACAATAGTGAAAAATGGGGTGATTAAGAAACAGTATATTTTATAGTTGATAGAGTATCGTGTACAAAAATAAAGGCATGTACTCACGACGTCTGAGTGCGGGCGCAGCATGGGGGCGGGCGGGGCGAGCAGGGCGGGCGGAGGCGGCACCAGAGCGGGAGGGTCGGGCGGCTCCGGGCCGTGGAACCAGCCATTGATGGACAGCCGCGGCAGCTCCAGCGATACCACCTCGCCCACCTGCACACAAACATAACCCGCCAATGGCAACTTGCAACGCGACCGACAACACGCTCGCATGCACACGTACGCACATACACGCTTATACACACGTAAGCACATATACGAGTATACACACGTACGCACATAAACACGCATACACACGTACAATTACTTTTGTAGCATAAAATCATAGTTATTAAGGGTTTTTGTTCATGTTAATTTTATGCATAATAAAATCCTTAGAAACGTACATATAGTATACGTTTTTAACAAGAGATAACTTCAATTTATTGATTTCAATGATATCAGGCTTCGAGCCACACACTCACACATTATTGTGTCATTTGTCTTAAAAACGTGGGAATCACTTCATAGACTTAAGAATATATATTGGAGTATAGACGATCTGACAACCCGAAAACGCGTGACAAATTTTGATTTGTCGTTGTGAGCGTTAGTTAGTGATGTCTATTTTACCTAAGTATATAGACAATCGCTAAACGATTGCCCTGGGACCGCAATACTGCAACTGGAAGTGCTAAGGGAGCGGTACAAAGTTACAACAAAATTAGTTTAGTACTAGAAACTGAATAACATCAAAAATTAACTAAATTTTACCATGATAGTTACCATATACTGGATGACCTTTTTTACTGTCTGGAAAAAAATGGGGTGTAACATGTGAACAGAGTAAAAGCCTATGGCACTTATATTATACAAAAAATAAAAACAAAAAATTTTAATTAAATTAGTTAATTAATTAAAATCTGTCGAAATTCGAACGGCAATTCAGTAGGCATCTTTGACCTTGTCACGTCGCAGGTTCAGTTGTTAGAGGTCGAGAGTGTTTAGAAGGAAACTGTAGACATTTTGAACAATTACTGCGATATCGCTAAAGAGATAACTTTATTTGTAAATGACAATAATGTAGTATAATATTGTAAATATGAATCAGTGTAGTTTGTAAATAAGTTGATTTCGATTTTTTAAATACGCCAAGATGTTGAAGTATAAGGTAGGCATAAAAATTATTATTAGAAACTGTTTATCAATTCATTATAAAATTATAATTAAAGATAAAATTCAACATGTAATTCTACTCAACTACCGCATATTAGACGGTCCTAGGCCCGTAAACGTATGAAGAAAAGATCGAAATCACGAAAATAATAATCTGAAACGAAAGCAGGCCTCTATCACTCTTGTTACCTACGTGAAATAATTACCTAAAATCGCGAGGCGCCCGGGCGAAATAACGCAGTCAGGGCTAGCGCGTTGGAGGCGATCGAATATGTTAAAGTTTTTAATGCTGTTTACGTATATAACTATTTGTAAATATTGTTGAAATAGTTTTTGTTCAGTGTTTATTATATTTAATTATAGGATAAAATAGTTCAAAAGTTTTAATGTAATTTAAGAACTATATATTATGTATATTACCCATTATTTAATAAATTTAAATATGGCAAAACGTCGTTCCTACTATAATTGTTGCGTGGATAGACGCTAAATGACCAACAAAAGATTTCAGATATACCATTCTTTATTACCGAAGGATTTTAGTGGGAAGTTATGTAACATGAATTTATTTAATTTTTATTGTTAGATAGGTACTTATAGCAAAAAAGAATTAAGTAATAATTTATTTAATATCTACAAACTTTATTACAAAATTTAGTGGAAATTTTCTTCACTATCCAAGTATCTACTTACGTACATATACTTGCCTTTTGTATTAAAATATTTTAAGCTGTTATTTTAGCTTAAAATATTTTAAAATAACACAAAACACTGAAATCAAAACTTTGTTTACCAACAAAATTTTTAACTAAGTAGAATACGATTACATTTCTGTTAGGAATCGTATTTCAAGTTTATTTGTTGTTTACACTATCTACCTTTTCCTTCCGAGCCAAGCGTCGCGATTCCCGACAAATGGTCTTGCAAGGAACTCACGTAGGTGCGAAAATATGGTCTGTCGATCATAGTCAGAATAGGTATTTCACCTAAGTAACCTAATTAATATTTCGCAATGTATTTTGTTACTCTTTATTGACATCCCTCCATAACAACGGAAATTCCACCGTAACGTAGGAAGAGGAAAATGTGCAAAGTAATACGGACACTCTCGCGTAGCAATAAAGTTTTATTTAGCTTGCGTGCGCGATTTAACTAATTAATAATAATTATGTAGGCTATTAAACGTCGGCAAGCAGTCAACATTAAAAGATTGAAACTTCTGTACGTAGTACTATCATTTATTCTGTGACGAAAGGTAGTTTACCTAATTACCATTTTCTGTTTCATATTTTTTTGCTATTCACAAACACGCGACAAGCGACGGCATTATTAATGAAAGAGCGTCAATGAGAAGTGCTCCTCATTTTAAATATTTTTCTTTCACCGACCAAGTATTTTGTTGTTAATTAGTATAATATGCTGATCTTGCATTAGCAGGCAGTAACTATACTGGGAGGTCTACTTACAGTGAACGTTTAAGGTCATTGACATTATAGGTGAAAAAACCACCACCAACTAACGGCTTTACACGCTTTCCGAGGCACGGGGTGAGACACCGCCTACTTCATGACTCCGGGCAGCTACTGAGAACTTCTTGACAGAAAAACTCAAATTGCTTTTTGTCTCGACCCGGGATCCGAACCCAGTACCTCATGTTCAGCTGTCACACTACTACAGCCACTAGACCAACGAGGCAGTCAAATCATAAATAAAAATAATTTTTGGTAACGTAAGGCGCGATCACGACTACACACTGAGGTCTAATCCCCTCCCCCTCTATTTGGCAGCCATTTTGTTTTTCTCTTGAGATATTCTCTACGCGTTTACGAAAAAAGTCATATCTCTGAAAGTTTTAGTCTTACTGAGATAAAAATTAACTCATTCGGAGGCCAATAATATTGTTTATCGTTTACATTATCAAAATTTTTGTTGACATACTTGTAACTTTGAAGAAAAAAATTTAACTTCAAATAAATATCAAAAAAATATGCTAATCGGCAAATTATTGTAAATTACTGCAAAAACAACCCGTTCACCCTTTTTATTTTTATACTAGATCGACAGATTTTGAGTTAAGCTACAATACAACATAAAGTTTACAGCTGTATCTTTATTCCTTGAATTATTGTTGTTTGAACATAGCATATACGCAAACACAAAAGGCCTTTGTTAAATGACAACTGGCACTGCCTGCCTAGGAGTAATAGTAATCTGAGATTACGTATGATCTTCGATGAATTAGAGATGATGAATTAGAGATCAGAGAATCAGAATCATCATTTATAAGTAGTATAATTTGAGAGCAGGCAGCACAGAACACTATTACTCCTAGGCAGGCAGTGCCAGTTGTCACTTAACAAAGGCCTTTTGTGTTTGGGCATACGCCATGTTCAAACAACAATAATTCTTAAAGTAATAAACATACAGCTGTAAACTTTATGTTGCATTGTAGCTTAACTCAAAATCTGTTGATCTAGTATAAAAATAAAAAGGGTAAACGGGGTTGTTTTTGCAGTAATTTACAATAATTTGCCGATTAGCATATTTTTTTGATATTTATTTGAAGTAAAATTTTTTTCTTCAAAGTTACAAGTATGTCAACAAAAATTTTGATAATGTAAACGATAAACAATATTATTGGCCTCCGAATGAGTTAATTTTTATCTCAGTAAGACTAAAACTTTCAGAAATATGACTTTTTTCGTAAACGCGTAGAGAATATTTCAAGAGAAAAACAAAATGGCTGCCAAATAGAGGGGAGGGGATTAGACCTCAGTGTGTAGTGTATTTTATATTAAAATAGCTGTATTATAAGTACCTAAAATATCGCTAGTCCGTGACCGGACACACTGTATATATATATATATTATATATATATATATATATATATATATAACCCCGGGCTCATTTTTTAAGTCCTATTAATCTATTAGCTCCACCTATCACAAATTCACAAACAGTCAAATTATGATCCTATGGTATATGTACACAAATTTATAATTAAATCCTTAAATGTCTACAAAAAGAAGAATAGTTAAATAAATTTCAAAGAGAGCTTAAAAAATATTTAATACAAAAAAAGTTTCTATTGGTTTTTAGAGTTTATCGACAAAAATTAATAATTGTTTACTTGAATATATATATATATATATATATATATATATATATATATATATATATATATATATATATATATATATATATATATTCATCTTTATTGTTAATGTATTTATATATCATTGTATAAGTATTGCAAATGTTTATTAAATCTAAAAGTAATATTTAGTTTAAGTAAATATATAATAATAATTCATCTTTCTAAATTAATTAAATTAAATTGGTATATCGTATATAAGGGCTCAGGGCTCATGTTTGGCTCTATTATATCCAACATAGCCGCCCCCCCCGCGCTCTGGTGCGTGTGAGCACTGACCTGGTGGAAGGAGTCATGTCCGACCCTGAAGAAGGCGAGCATGTTGTTGCGCGGGTACACGCGGCGCTGCACGGCGGCGGCGCGGCCCAGCTCGTCCCGCGCCAGCAGCTCCAGGGCCCCGCCCAGCCGTTCCTCCCACCCGCACCACCCACGCTTCGACTCCTGCAAGGTCGCATCATTCACATTTATTTCAAGTGAAAACTTTGGCGGCACATTCGTTCTGAACAGTTTGGGCAGTGAACAAAAGTGGGCCGCCACACTCGCTTCAGTGACGCGGACTCGGGCTCCACTCGTTGAACTAATGTACTACGTACAACACACACGAAGATCTGTTTGTTTGCAACATGTGTTGGAGTTCACGGGCTCTTCCTCAATTGGTTTATACAGGATGGGCCAGAAAGAATTGCGAATTTGAAAAAATCATTAAAAAAAAAAACTAAGTACAATTCACATACAAATTTTTATTTCTACAAAAATTTACATCTGGGAAATTCATTTCTTAAAAATAACATCATCCAGATGTGCACCATCGCGCTGCAAACATTCTTCGAATCTGAACCTCAAATTGGTAAAAACTCGCTGGCACATTGCACGGGGAATATCTGCCATTTCTTTCCGGATATTGGTCTTCAACTGGTCAATTGTGGCTGGGTTATTGGAGTAGACTCTACTTTTTAGGTATCCCCACAAAAAAAAGTCCAGTAGGTGTAAGATTCGGACTTCTAGGAGGCCATTCAATGTCACCTCGGCGCGATATCAGTTTCTCACCAAACATCTCGTTTACGACCGTCAAAGAGGCATTAGCTGTGTGGCATGTCGCGCCATCTTGTTGAAACCATGTCGCACGATTATAGGCTTCAAATTGTTGCAGTTGTGGAAAGAAAAAATCCCTTAACATGGCTATGTATCGGTCAGAATTTACAGTGACAGATTGGCCTTGTCGATTTTCGAAAAAGTGGGGTCCGATAATTCCGTGCGCTGACATGGCCGCCCAAACGGTTACTTTCGGCGAATGTAAGCTTGAGTTTTGCACGTGGGTTCTCTGCAGCCCAGTAACGGCAATTCTGTTTATTCACCTGCCCATTGATGTGAAAATGGGCTTCGTCGGAGAACAGAATATTGTTGAAACTCCGAAAGCGTTCCAGCATCGTTTCAACAAAAGCTCTCCTTAAAATTGGATCATTTGGCTGTAATTCCTGCACAAGTTGAATTTTATACGGATGCAATTTCAGATCTTTTAACAAAATGCGACGCAAAGATGTTCTGGACACCAAAAGTTCGGCTGAACGCTTTCGAGTCGATAGAACAGGATTACGTTGAACTGAAGCTCTAACTTGTTCAATTGTGTCTTTCGTTCTTGTTGACCTTGGGCGTCCCGCAGGCTTCTGTTTGAGAGTCGAACCAGTAGCTTCGAACTTTCTGACCCACGATCGAATCACGCTTTCCTTCGGACACTGATTTAGGTCATGTAATCCAAACTCACGTCGAAATAAACGCCGAACAATAGCGCACGAATCGTGATTTTTATAATAATGTTTAACGCAGAAAGCACGTTGCGCTCCCGTGAAGTGATCCATCGCGACTAAATTTCCGAGAACCGAGCTACTTAACCCCACCACCCGCGCAGTCCCCTCTCTAAAGCTTCAAACGCAAGTGTGTTTTTAAAATCGTACTCCTTTCTGGCCCACCCGTTACCATACGTGTACTCCGCGTTGGTCTAGTGGTTGCAGTAGTGCGACTGCTAATCATAAGGTCCTGGGTTCAAATCCCGAGTCGGGCCAAAAAATCAATTATTTTTTATTTATTTATTATTTTTCTGTCAACAAATTCTCAGTAGCTGCCCGGAATCAGGAAGTTGGCGGTGTGTTACCCCCGTGCCTCAGAAAGCACGTAAAGCCGTTGGTCCTGCGCCTGATCTCTCTCCGGTCGTGTCGGTTTATCGTCCCATCGGATTATGAGAGTGATGGTGGTGGTGATGTTGAATAGAGAGTGCACCTGTGCTTGCGCATACACTTGGGCACTATAACCCTGTCCTGCGCCGATGGCTAGCCTCCGTTGAGGCTGGCCGCCATGGCCGAAATTCGATCTGGAGGACATTATTATTATTATGATTGTACTGGTACATAAGTACATTATACTTCAATGGCTCCTCTTGACAACAAGCACTCTCGGCTTAGAGAAGCATTGAGTATATTGATGTATACTCTGCTCCAGTCGCCATTAGCCACAATTAGTGTTTAACAAGAAGTGCATCATTCCAATAATTAAGCTTTTATTATTATTTAAAATAATAAAATTACAAAACAAAAAAGGGAAAATCACAAGTTTTCACTTCTATCATGTAGTCATAAGCACACACACATTTTCTGTATCATGGGGGCAGTTTACATACATAAATTTAACATATTTGTATGATCAATAGATAATTGTTCCGGGCAGTGGCGAAGCTAGGGCTCCAAACTAGAGCAAGCTCAAGATATGGTTTTGTTGTTTTTAGCAGTTTTATAAAAATACACCAATCTTGATCTGTCTCCACTCTTCAGTTTCATATTCAGTGCTGTCAAGGACGTGTTTAACAAAGCACACAGAAGGCATACCACTGCTAGATAGATTGTATTACATATCAGCAGTTGCATGCCTTCGGTGGCTTTGAAAAAAGCCGTTTGGGTTTCTTTAAGCGAAAGAAAAAATACTTACATACAATACATGAACAAAGTACAAACAAACTTTGTACCAAATTTAAAAAACAAATTATTTATATTCTAAATTGAATGGTCTCTCTTTCTTAAGAAAAGATTTTATTACGTCCGCGTAAAATGTTGGTGAACGTTTTAATTGTACCAATAACTGTTTTTCAATTGCAATAATTGATAAGTCCGAAAGACGCCCTTGACCTTGTGTATTTTCACAACAAAGTTTAAAGATTTTACCTTTTCCTCGCCGATTAGCACTTTAACACACTTCAATTCATCACAAGGAACACTCCTCTATATATACACTCTGATCTACACTATATACTCCAATATTATCCTCCATTTTCACTAAAAATCTTTGAAAAAGCATAAATTTTCAACAGACACAACAAAAACAAACACTAACATTGAAATGTGAAGTGAACTTGCAAACGTATCGCCCGCACGCCCGCGCACTCCTAAACAACTTCAGAGCAAAGCCCAGCTTTTGGTTCCATAGTAATTGCTATATAAATATTTCATGGTTATATTTCACTATAGAACATTTTGCCACAGGTTAGAAAGGGAGCTATCGTCTTCTCGAAAGCCCGGTAAAGAGCCAACGCGTGCGAGAGAGACGACTAATAGCTCAACCCAACTCGTTGCTTTCATTAATTTTGACAGTACATTGCGTGCTAGAACAGTTTACGAGTTATTTTATTATTTGATGATATGTCTGTATGTTTATATTTGTGAAATTTATACACAACTCGGTTAAGCTAAGTTTGCACCTCACTACAATTGGAGACCCTCCGTTTCTCCAGTCTCAACCCCCAGTTCATTCAGTCGCGTCAGTACGGTTTGCATTTTGGTTACAAATTTTTTGTTATGTTTTGGATTATTTTTGTTGTCACATCATCTGCACCAAGTGCAAAATTAGTCCATCAAGTTGTATGTCAACCGCCCCCACGATACAGGAGAAAACCCTAGTGTAATACTATAATAAAAAAAAATTAAATTCTGGAGCATGGTCAGTTACCATGTTGGTGCCATTAAGCAGCGCTCGGGAGTGCACGGTGGGCGCCAGGTACAGGATGAAGGCGATGCGACGGTCGGCCAACATGTCGTCGTGCACCAGCAGATGGTCGCCCGGCCCGTACAGCGAGCAGGATGCGGAGACTGACGTTAGAAGCAGACCAGTCACCTCAGACACCTGGTACAGGTTGGATAATCAAACTAGCGTATAACGCAGTCACTTACAGGCTCTTAATTGTAATGTTCTCCAGACTGAATTTTTGCCACAGTCGGTGTGTCTCAACTCTTTTTTAAGGTTTACTATCATGTATTCTTTGATATTCAAAAGACTATTTACACAAATCAACATTTTGTTTAGGCAATGATTGGGCAACAGTAGGAAAGTCAAAAAGAAATTTCAGATATTTCCATTAGTGATATTTCTCAAAATATCTCTTGATCAGATTTTGTTAAAATTAATATTAACATTGAATGGCAATTCCGTATTGCAATATATTTTTTTTTACTATGTATCAAAATTAAATATTTTGGATTAAATTTACATAGATTTTAAATGACTCACTACACTTATGTAATCATATTTGGTAAAGCTCATTTATTGTTCAATGTTATGGAATCAAATTTTTGAAGCGATAGTAGCCTAATGGCAGGGCGCGGACCGCGAAATCAAAAAGGTCGTGGGTTCGAATCCGCCATTCGACTACTGGCGTGAACCACTCGTAACATAAGAAATTTAAGCTTACCATGAGTGGTTAAGGGGAATATTAGTAATGTTTATAAGATAAGATAAGATGCTTTATTTGTTATAATATGGTACATTACTCAGTGGCATAGCGTGCCTTAGAAGGGCCCTATATCAAAATTTGTTGGGGGGCCCAAACGAAAGGCCCAAAACCGCTCGCATTTAATTGAAATAATTATATATTGAATATAAGTTAATAATTACTATTAAGACTCCTATGAACTAAGCTAGCCAAACAATTGAAATTAAATATAAACTTTTCTTGTCTTGTTCGGCGAACTTAATACGTCGGGGAAAAGTTTCTTCGTATTTTATATACACATTTTTTTTCAGTTCCATTACAATTAATTATAACATATATATGTGCCATTTTGTTCGATAACTTGTTACCATCTTATAGGAATATGGCATAATTCCGTTGCTGTAGAAATTTTGAGATTTTTGATCAAAAAATGCGACAAATAATTTTGACAGTCCTCTCTTGATGTTAACCTAACACTACCCAAGGAATTCTGAAGAGACCGAAACAGATGAAAATCTGAGGGTGCAAGGTCAAGAATATACGGTGGATGCATTAACATTTCCCAACCAAGCTTTCTCAATTTTTGCTGAGTGGCTAGATTGTGTGGTCTGGCGGTATCATGATGAAAGACCACTCCTTGTCTGATGATTTATTCCGGCTGTTTTTTGTCTCGATTTTTTGCTTGAGTCTAACTAGTTGTTGACAGTAGATATCCAAATTGATGGTTATGCCCAGCTATAACAGTTCATAATAAATGATGCCTTTCTAATCCCACCATACACGAAGCATCACCTTATTGGGTGTTAATCCGGGTTTCACTACAGTCTGTGGACTTAACCACCCTTTGACCATCATCTTTTTGCACGATCTTGTCGTAGGTAATCCACTCTCATCACTAGCAATTAATCTTTGCAAAAATGGTTCAGTTTTATTATGTTTCAATAGAGAATCGCAAATGAGTACACAATTCCTGAGGTTTCTTTCAGTGAGCTTGTGTGATACCTAAATATCAAACTTTTTTGTATAGCCAGACTCTCAAATGGCTCAAAACTGTTTTCACTCAACTAAAAACATAGCCGAAGAATTAAAGATTGACCACACAATCTTCAATTATTCGGCTATGTTGTAAAGAATTACTAATTTGCCGATCTTCCTCCACTTTTTCAAAAATGGCATCGACTTTATTTGTATGAAGGTGACCAGAGCGAGATCTTTGACATCGAAATTCGCGGACTGAAAACGCTTGAACCAACTTTGTGCTATTCTTACTGACACTGCATTAGGTCCATAAACGTCAAAAATATTTCGGGACTGAGTCAAACTTCTGAATGTATCGAATTTCTTCATTGGTTTCATTCATTTTGGCAGACAGAAAAACAATTGAAAATGGTGGCAGTGTTTTTTACTCTTTCTTTTTCTTTTTCTTAATGTCCCATATTTGTATTGATATTAAAACAAGCTAGATACAAATAGTATAAACAAAGAGATTTTCTTCAATTTTATACAAACAAAATACGAAGAAAATTTTTATTTGACCCATTATAATGGCGAACGTCTCGTCATCGGTCATGACTGCCTGCCTAGATAGACAATAGTGTCAAGTTTGAATAAAACAGGATTAGTGATTTCAAATAGTGAAGAAAAAAGGTTCATCTTTTTAGTGGAAATTAAATTTAGTTGATACAATGTTCTCATTATCAATATAATTCATTAAAAAATTAATGTTTCCTTAAAGCTGATAAAGCGTCGTTTCTTGAAGACCATCTAGTAGGACACCTTTTTAAGGGTAATTTTATATTTTTAGATGAATCGTTACTCATAATTGACAAGCATTTTCTACGACTGCTAAGAAAAATTATAATTTTTGGGTTATTCCGTTTATCAACCCTAGAGTGGATAATCGCAAACGCGTGTTCATCTACCCACCCCAGACGGGGTTGATAATCGGAGTTCACTTCAAACATTTAATCAAAAAAACATATTACGTATTGCCGTTACCGTCACTGTTACAGCCTTTTAAAGTTCATGCATTACGTATTTCAAAATTAAAATAAAATTAATTCAAATTAAACTGCCTCGTTTTGAATAAAATAATTGCGTAATTAATAAATTTTGTAATTTATCCAAGCAATTACCAACACTAATTACATTATTGAGCAGACGTAATTTAATATCCTGGATAAATTTGTCACTTTAAATGTACATTTGCAATCATATTCTAAATTTTTTTGCTACAACAGATGTTTTAGCGAAGAACTGGGCGTATTTTCCTTGAATTTCAAAAGAATTAGTAATAAATATTTGTCTTCATTTTAAATTATTTTATGCCAAGATTCAAATGAATTTGTGATTCTGTGAGGTACTCTTTTTATTTCAGCGTTGACCTTTCAAACAAAAAATATGAATAAACTTTTATCGATAATATCTACTAAGTATCTTGGACCAGCACAACAAGTATTCAGGACCATTTATCATATTTCTACAAATTACTGTACACAGCAGAGGGAGCAAATCGGAAGAAAAATAATATATATGAATCCCGATTATCCACCCCGTCTAGGCAACTATTTATTTAGCCTCTGACATACAGGTAGAATATCCTAGTTTAGGGGCTAATAACCACTGTAAATTTTGTGCATGTAATATGTTAATCAATAAAGATTATTATTTCTTTAGAAACATTATCATAATTTTCTGTTATCGAGATGTATCGAAAAACTACAGAAAATTGGACAATTTCTGTCAGGTCTTCTCTAGGCACGTTGGGCACTATTTGATGATATTATTTTTTTTCTCAAGAAGTACGGCCTAAGAGCTTAAGTGAGATTGTGGATAACATTTTACGAATTTTTGATAACACATGTTCGGGGCCCCTGTAGCCCGGGGGCCCCGTATCATTGATACGGCTATTACGGCGGTAGCTACGCCCCTGACATTACTGTTGTTACAAAAGAATTTCGATCCTAAATATTCTGCCATTTCCATACAAATATTTTCAGATAGATAATTTTACAACAAAGTAGTAAGTAAACTAAGACATTAATTATTATATAGTATAAAGATACTTGCAGCAATACTTATGGAAACTAAATTTATATAAAACAAGTATATCAATCAATTCATAATACTTTTAGTTAAAACATTTAAAAAAATTAAATTAAGCTATTCAATAAATACAATTCAAGTCAAATTTATCATTTAAGAAGTCATTTATATTACATTTATTTAAAAGAAATTGAAATAATTTACTTTTAAAGATTCCTATATTCATTCCTATACTCATCTTTTTGAAACAAACAGGCAATTTGTTGTAAACATATATTGCCATACAATATAAATTTTTTGAGTAGAGTTGTATTCTTTGCTTTGGTACACACAATTTATGTATGTTTCTACTAGCTCTAATTACATCATTGTGTTTTTCAAATAAATTACTGTTTTTGTGAACAAAGACACAGATTTCGTAAACATATAATGCAATGCGGTAATATTTTATGTTTGCAAAAAAGGGGAATACAACTATCTAATTGGTATGCTCCGCATAAAGACCTTACACATTTTTTCTGTCCACGAAAAGCTCTAATGAAATCGACAGAATTACCCCATATTATTAAGCCGTAACGTAGGATCGAATACACATATCCATGATAGGCAGAGAGTGCGGCCTCCATGTTAGCCACTAGTCTTAAGCGATATAAAACAAAGACAAATTTATCTAACTTTTTACATAGGTTATCAATATGTGTCTTCCAATTACAGAACTTGTCTATTGGTACCCCCAAAAAGTTAGTATGGTCCACTTCTTCTATTATGTTTTTCCCATATTCAATTTTAAGTGGTCCTTGTTTACTATTATATGTCTGAAATCTTATTATATTAGTCTTTTCGATGTTAATTTGTAAATTATTATGTCTTAACCAATCTATTATTGCTTCTAAGGTTCTATTCATTTCATGTTTGTAGTCAAAAAATTTATTATTATTTTCAATATTAATGGTAATGTCATCAGCATATAGCACACATTTATGAGTAGTTATGTTACAAAGATCGTTTATATAGATTATAAATAATAGAGGTCCTAGTATACTTCCTTGTGGCACTCCGCATTTATTTTCGCAATATTGCGATCTATACTATCTAACTTTTTCTATGGCGTCCTGAGTAACTTGATACCTCAACGCATTGTTTTTGTTGACTTAAATAATCTTGCACTAATTTTAATGCATTGCCTCTTACACCATATCTGCTAAGTTTGTGTAACAATAACTCATGGTTAACAAGGTCAAATGCCTTGGACATTGCATTATGTAGCATTGCTAATATTCTTTAAAAAAAATGAGACTGCTTCATAGATATGCTAAGCTTTTGATTACAACAGTACCAATTTTGAAACCGCGTGGTGCAAGGCGTAAACATGTGTGGCCTACAAATAATTTTTCATGTGCATTTTATACACACACACACACACAAATATTATAATACCTTTTACAAAATAAGGAAGTACTTTTAACTTTATTAACTTTTAAGTAACTTAATGTTTAATGAGAATGTTTAAGAAGTAAATGCTGTACGTAATTCAAAGCCTATGTTTTTCTATATTAGTTCTAAATGTCTAAGCTTGTTATATTTTCAAAGAATGCTCAATATTAAGATGAAGTTTAACAGCTGTTTGTAACATCATGTCATAAAGAAAAGAAGAATAAAGAAACTAGTGATGGTAATTCCTGATATGATTCTCCTATTCATGTAAAATTATAAATATAAGATCAGAACTCTTTGGAATAAAGCCATTACATTTAAACTATAAAATCCATTAAAACATTAATGACTATACACTCAAACTAGCTCTACTAGTTCGAGTATTTATGCATAAATGTTATTAAAATAATTAGTTAGTTCAATTATAATACAACTTACCCAACTCATAACTTCAGTCTTTAATAACTCATAAATTCCTCTAATACTCCGTTGCCATGTTAGATTTGCTAGATCAGTAGTCTGATGGAACTCATAAAGATCCATTTTCTTACGAGACCAGTCCAGTGTGTTCATGTCATCAACAATATTGTTAATGATCTCAGGATTTTCAAGTAAATCATGGAGCAAGCAGAGACGGAATGGGTCACAAGTTAGTGTCACTTCATCACTTGAATAATCTTTAGGTTCAGACCAATGGTTTATCAATTTGGTTTTCAATTCTTGTGACTGAAAAATTAATAATGTCATTAATTAAGACTGTAGTATATAGCCACCATATCATAAAGATGTAAGCGAACCCACTTTCCTATATCATCCCATAGGTGTTGATAAACATGAAAACTGAAACAGGAGATGAGCAGAAACATCTACTTGATAACAACTCGCCTAACAAAACTGTGCTTACCAATACCCCTGCCAAGTGTGGCAACCATGGAAAATATCCTCCGAGGCAATCTATGGGGGAGGCATATGTTCAGCTGTGGCCCTTGATCGGCTTTAATAATAACATATATTCACACAAAACTTTTATTACAATTTTATAATGAAACACTAGAAAAATCCAAAAATCAACACAATAACATTCATGTGAAAATGGCATACAAAATTAACCTAGATTATAAATAAATCCATTCCATTCCGTAAGATAACTTAATTTTTATTGCACTAGATAGAAAATATTATATTGATTCTATAATGCCAAACTTCTTCATAGAAAAGTAGTCTCTAAATATAGGTTTTAATGGTGTAAAGTTCTGTGGGTGGCTTGGGAGTTTGACGAAATAGTGCCACAGTCAGATTCGACCGCTTGGGTACTGAGGGGTTAACCTTTAAGGTACTGTGGACATGAATTCATGTCCACGTTTTGTGACCGTTGAGTACCGCAGACATGAATTCATGTCCGCATTACATGTTGCCATTTTCGTCATTAATTGATATAAAAATAGTATTTTTTCGGAGGAAGTGAGAGATACAAGTGTCGTGCCTTTTTTTGCTTAAAATTTATTGTTTTATTAAGTGTTGTTGATTTACCATAGTAAATTTTTCTGTCTTGGTGGAGGTTTTAATATCTGTAAATTAGTAAGTGTTTGTAGTTGTGCCGTTTTTATGTAATTTTTTGTTGTAGTAATATAATGGAGGACGAACCTCCCGATCCCGGAAGGGTTCGCAATGATTCCTTTTCCTTACCCACTAACATTGATAATGTAGAATTAATTAAACGTAAACGTGCCCAAGTAAGTAACGAGTCTGCCCATCCACAAAAAATAGTTATTACTGATCCAAATCAACAGTTTCCTTCAATACAATCCTCATATACCCATCCTGATTTTATTAATAAAAAAGTTAAGTACTCTCAAGATGATGCCGCTCCTTTTCTAGTTCACGTAAGTAAAATCTCAAATGATCAGCTGTCTGGAGTAACTCTTAAACCAATTAAATTCGGCCACTTTCTGTATCATAACAATATTAAAAATATAGTCCATGATGGAGTCAAAAAAGTTGGACGAAATAGAATATCCGTGGAGTTTAAATCAGCTGCAGATGCAAACACCTTTATCGATCACCCAGCTCTCCAAATTTCTAAATATGAAGCAACCATCCCCTCATATAGTATCACTCGTATGGGGCTAGTTAGACAAGTTCCCATAGAGTGGACACTAGAAGAATTAATAGCAGCTATAGAAATTCCCTCTGGATACGGTTCTATAATTAAAGAACGGCGACTTAATAGACGATCAGTGAGTGACAGCAATAGCGTTTCATGGGTTCCAACTCAGACGGTTGTTCTAACTTTTTCTGGACAAAAACTTCCTCCCCATATTTACTGTTTTTACACCTCAATGCCAGTGGAAAAATATGTTTTGCCACTAATTCAGTGTCATAAATGCTGTAGATATGGCCATGTTACTTCCCAGTGCCGATCATCTCCTCGCTGCTTTGTATGTGCACAGAATCATGAAGGTTTATCTTGTACTCGACAAACTCCTACTTGCCTATTCTGCTCTGGTCCCCACACCGCAAAAGACCCTACATGTCCTGAACATCTAAGGCAAAAATCTATTAAACTTGTTATGTCACAAGAAAATATTTCATATTTAGAAGCTTCAGCTAGATTCCCTCAGACAAAAAGATCCTTTGCTGATACAACAAGAATCCAGCCTCGTAATTGTTCTCAACAGACCCCTTATACTATAACTGACAGTCTTTCAACCCCTTCGGCTCAGCTCTCACAAACTGCATCATATAAAAAAACAATTTTTATCCCTCAACGTACCCGCAGCCCACCATTAAATTCTGGATATGATATGGCAGCCCATCAAGCAATTGTTGAGAATCCTAATTCTTCCCTTCCTAATGGGTGTGCTCTACTGGGAAATGACAACAACTCCTCTAGTAATGATAATTTCTGCGAACTTATGATATCAATTCTAATTAACATGATCTCCCGTTTTAGTGACACGGAACTTCCTCTCAGCTTACACCAAAAACTTACTCAGCTTTCCTCCTTAGCCCGTAACATTCGCAGTCCCGCCAATTCTTCAATGGAATTGTCGGAGTATTAGAAATAAAAAAAATGAACTCATTTACCTCATTAACAAATTTCATCCCTTCATTCTTGCCATCCAGGAGACATGGCTTAGGCCTGAATCTCATTTTAGGGTTTCAGGCTATGCATGCCTCCGGGATGATAGGAGTGATGGTCGTGCTGGCACCTCTATTTTAATTTCAAGAACTGTTACATTTTCACAAATTCCTCTCCCTTCTCATAGTCCAGCAGTAAATGCTGTTGCTATTAAGGCCCTTGATGTCTCTATTCTCTCTGTTTACATTCCTAATCCTGATGTAAATGTTTTAACAGAACTTGCAACACTTATCTCTTCTCTGTCACCTCCTATGGTTATTTTGGGAGATTTTAACATGCATCATACTGTTTGGGGCTCCCATCTGTGTGATTCACTGGCTCCCTTATTTTTAGATCTTATTGATAATTTTAATCTCTGTATTCTAAATGATGGGTCTCCTACCCGTCGAGTATCCCCATTACAAAATGTTAGAAGTGCCGTTGACCTAACTCTCTGCTCTCCAGATATTGCTTCCCTTCTTTTGTGGCAAATATTACCTTCTAGCTATGGCAGTGACCATTTTCCTATATTCATCACTCCTCCTACTTCACCTAGAATAAATTTTACATTTTGCCCAAGACTAAAGTATAATCTATCCAAAGCTAATTGGCAATTATATTCTAAAGTCTTGGAACAAGAGGTTTCAACTCTTCCCCCCAATTAACAATGATAATATTGCTACTGTATATATAGAGTTCAGAAATGCAATTATTTCTGCTGCTAATAAGTCAATCCCCTTAAAAAAACCTTTCAAAAATAATTATCCCTCCCCTCCTTGGTGGGACCAAGATTGTTCAGCAGCTTGTAGGAGAAGAAAAGAGGCTGAATTAATATACTCCCGTTCTATGACTGCAGAGAATTATATCTCTTATAAAAAAATTGCTGCAGAAACCTTAAAATTACTGTCAGACAAAAAGCGAACTGGTTGGTTTAAATTCTGTGAGTCACTGTCACCTAGGACTCCCCCATCTTTGGTCTGGAGAAATGTTAAAAAATATCGCTGTGCAGTTTCTAGTGAAAATATAATTTCTAATGATCCTTCCCCGTGGATAGATGAATTCTCTAATAAACTTGCACCACAAACAGTCCCATCTTATGATGAATGCCTAGTTTTTAATTCTGCTTTTTTAAAAACAAATGATAAATTTGATTCCCCCTTTTCTTCTCAGGAATTGTTTACTGTACTCAATGGCCTTAAAGACTCCTCACCAGGTATTGATGGGATTCCTTATTCGTTTATAATTAATAGTAGTGAGAACACTAAAACTGTCTTACTATCCATTTTAAATTTTATTTATATTACTGGTGATCCTCCTGCTGAATGGAAAACCCAAATTATTTTGCCCATTCTCAAACCAGGTAAGTCTAGCAATGACCCTTCCAGTTACCGACCTATTGCCCTATCTTGTACTTTGGCAAAAATCTTGGAACATTTAATAAAAAATCGCTTGGAGTGGTTTTTGGAAAGGAATAATCTCTTACCTAAAAGCCAATTCGGTTTCCGAAAAGGTTTAAGTACCATGGATAGCCTAAGTACCTTGGTCACAGATATTCATATTGCCTTCTCAAAACATGAATTTCTCATAGGAGCTTTCTTGGATATTTCTTCTGCATATGATAATGTGCTTCTTCCTGTGCTCAGGCAGAAAATGCTTAATCTGAGCATTCCAGTGAGGATAGTCAATTACGTCTCTAACTTTCTCTCTTCTAGATCAATATCTATAAATGTTAAAAATCTCCTGCTTCCCCCCAAAAACTATATGGAAAGGACTTCCACAAGGCTCAGTTCTTAGTCCTCTCCTTTATTCTATATATACTCACGATTTAGAACTTTCAGTAAATTCTTTTTGTAATGTTCTTCAATATGCAGACGATTTAGCTCTATACATCTCCTCAAACAACTTCACAGTGGCATGTTCCCGTCTAAACTCATCAATGGATTATTTACAAGAATGGTTAACTAATCATGGCCTCTCTTTATCTGTGGCCAAGAGTAGTGTGGTGATCTTTTCCCGCCAAAGGCGAGTTCCCGATATATCTGTTGTATATGATAAGCAACCTATTCCAGTTAGAGGCAATGTTAAATTTTTGGGAGTTATCCTTGATTCGAAATTGGCCTTCGGTCCATACATTGAATATATAACACAAAAATGCGAAAAAAACATAAATATTCTTCGGTCTTTGTCAGGTGTTTGGTGGGGGTCCCATCCTTTTTCTCAGAAATTACTTTACAATGCTTTAATACGAAGCCACCTTGACTATGGATGTTTTCTGTTGGAGCCTTGCAATAAATCATCCCTTAAAGTAATGGACAAAATTCAATCGAAATGCCTTCGCATTATTACAGGGGCGATGAAATCCTCACCAATAAATGTTCTTCAGGTTGAGTGCGTAGATCCTCCTTTAAGATTAAGAAGGCAATACCTTTCAGACAGATTCTTATTTAAGATCTGCCAACTTTCAGATCATCCCCTAATTCCTAAATTGCACCTTCTTTCAGAGTATATCTCATCTGACCGATACTGGACCCATAAGGACTCTCCCTGCTTGTTTAAAAGTTTTGTAATTTTTCTTCAGCTTCCTTACCCAATCTTTCAATGCAAAATAAATCCACTCTTTGATGTTCCTTACGAGGCTATTGTTTACCAACCCGACATTCATCTAGATCTAGGTATAGAAAAGGATTCTCCAATGGCAAATTTGAAATTAAAAGAAATTATAGAAAACACCTTTAAAGATTGGCTTGTCATGTACACAGACGCTTCAAAACATTCTGATGAAGACTATACTGGAGCTGCTGTTTGGATTCCTAAGTTCAAAATCATTCTTAACTTTAAATGCCCCTCACTATCCTCCACTTTTACTGGTGAAGCAACTGCAATCAGTGAAGCTTTGTTATATGTAGAATCACATAATCTTAATAAAACAGTTATTTTCACAGATTCAAAAAGTTGTTTGTTAGCTATTTTGTCCAATCAATTCCATAACAAACATAAGTTTCCACTAATTCTTAAAATAAAAAATACCCTATTCAGATGCCATCTTAAAGGAATCCATGTTTCAGTGGCCTGAATTCCAGGCCACAGTGGTATCCATGGTAACGAAACAGCTGATGTACTCGCTAAAAATGCAATTGCTAATGGCATTCTACAAAATTTAATTTACTCACATGACCTAATTTTGCTAGCTAAAAGGAAACTGAATGAAAATTGGAATAAATTATGGGAAGTTTCCAAAAAAGTTAAAGGTAAGCACTATGCTGCCATCCAAGAGGTTATTCCTCCCAAGCCTTGGTTCTTTAAATTTAACAAAGCAAATAAACATGCAACTTCAATCATTTGTAGATTAAGAATTGGACACGCCTGTACACATGCACATCTGGCAAAAATCAGAGTAAGGGATAGCTCATTGTGTGAATGTGGCTTAGATGAAGGTTCCACAAACCATATTTTTTTCAACTGTCCCAAATTATCCTCCTCCCTTTATGATTACCTTCCTCCTTATATTCCTCGACCTATAGATTTTAATTCTCTTTTAACATATACCAGTACTCCTTTTGTGTATATTTTATGTGATTTTATTAATACTAATAATATGAAACTTTAAATCCTTGTCACTTTTAACATACGGGTAAGAGTCTAACACCTGTGTTTGTCATATTTGTTCTAGGTAATTCAACAAATAGATTTGTCAAAATTCTCGGAGGAAAACTGAATCCTTGTATTATCACAGACTCTTATTTTAATTAAACTCATAAGCTTTCATTTTCTACTCAATACGTCATTTGCGAATTTTATCGAACCGCCACAAAAGAAAGAAGAAGAAGATATAAAAATACAGTATATTTTCAATTGAACACTATTTCATTCGATTCTGAACGAACTAAAGAGTATTCTGAAGAATTATATTCACTCGGTTACATAGACAAAATCAAATATAACAGCCATTCGCTTTTGTGCTGTTGGTGCTGTTAGTTGCGTAATCGTTGAAGTTTTGTGATTGTGATTTTAGTTGGATTTTCTTTCAAAAAACTGTAAGTAATGTTATTTATCTTTACTACGTATTGTTTTTGAATGATCTAAGTTACAACAACAGTAACTTTTTATGTTTTAATTGATAAAAAAGTAGAATCAAAAAACCTCTGCACGAACAATTCATAACAGTCAAGATTTCTAATAAGATAATAATAGTATATTTCTTATTCGAATACCATAGTAAATACTTTTACTAGGAATTGCTAAATGTTATATCTATATGATTGTATAAGAAAAATAAAGGAAGACACTATAATATATACACAAAAAGGTTTTGAAAATGAGGTTACAAAGTGCACGCAAACTGTCTATTGTCGAATTTTTAGCAAATGTTTGCAAGTGAAAAAGTACAATTATTATAATTATTACATGCATAATTTTGGTTCATTTAGGAAGAATATGTTGTATTGATAAGGACATAAAAATAAAATAAAAACTTCATAAAATAAAATTTGTTGTCAGTAAGTAAACTTTATCAAGATCCGTTAGAAACAAAGAGCTGTACAAAATAAAATAAACATTTAAATGTTATGGTTATTGTTTCTACTTATCGAAAATCTTATTGGCTTTAAATAACTGTAACAAAAACGTCTTTAAACATAAGTGAGAAACACAAATGTTTATAACAAGTGCAGCCAGCTGAGGTGACAAAGCTGTTTTTTGTTATGGCGGGCGCGACGACAGAGGCCCCTGTACAAAGCTGTTTTTTGCTACGGCGGGCGCAGTAAGAGAAAGGTTAAAATATTCTTATAATATCTAATTGTCTGGATACTAGAGATAAATTAGTAATAATTATAAGGTAAATCATCAATTTTCATACATAGGTAATTGACCTACCATTACCAGTACCAGGTAGGTACCGTAAATAATAATTATTATACCATGGTTAGATTAAATAAAAAACTTTCAGAATTTTAAGATGCATGAGCTGTACCTTTAATAATGAATTAAACTTTGGATCATCCATTCTATGTGCCCTAGGGTTGAGCTGAGCCTTCACCAATTTACTGTGAACCTTGTCTTCTACCAATATAGAGTCGTCTTCCCATGGTGACTCTGAATCAGAACTATAATCTGATGATGATGAAGATGAAGAGTATTCCGCTGCAAAATTAAAAATTTTTATTTACTTAAAAAAGCCATTTGAAATATTCACACGATTTTTCTTAAACATTCACAATTTTCATTAAGTTTCAAGTAGTTAAAAAAAAAGTAATACTGTAGTGTATAAAGGCTGCAATTCTACAAACATCTCAACATTTATTTATCATTAAAATATCTATAATATAAACAAAATAAAGTATATTAGCATATATATACATAGCAATATTCTAAACTGTTTTTGAATTTAAAGTTCCCGCGCAAACAAACATTTTACAATGCTAAAAACTGTAACTCTTTTAATCTAAACAACTTACTACCGCGAATTCTCTTCACCTCATCAGCAGAGGCCTGGTATGACTTAACTGCACAAACATCTGAATCGTCGCTTTCGGTGTCTGAAATTTCGATAACAGTGCTGGAAAGACGGCGCTTGGCGGGCGGTCGTTCCTGCGCCGCCGACGCACCCGGATCACCACTTCCACTAGCTGCATTTTTTTCAGGCGGGCTAGTTGACGTCGGCTCTTCTGTTTCTTTACTTGGTGAACTCATTTTAACATTCCAATACTACATAATACTTGACAAAAACAATACGAAACAAAAATGATGCGACGCCTAACCTAAAATTTTAATTTGATTGACGTTCTAATTTAAGTTACCAGCTACAAATCTTTTTTTTTTTTTAATTTATTCGTGACCATGGTTGCGAGGACCTTCAGTCGAAAACATTACAGTACTTATAACACAAATCATACATCAAATTAAGAATATTTAACTTTAGCAATAACAATTTAGAATGGTTTTCCATCATTTTTCTACTTTTTTTTCCTATTATATAAATATAGAACAGACTAAATTACAAAATGAACTAAGAAGCTATTTACAAACATTATCAATTAACTAAGGACACATAAATAATTAAAGTTTTCCTACAGTATTAAGTATAAATTTAAATAGAGGCATGAAAAAAACTACATCAGTTAATAGATCCTGAACGCGGCGGGGAACACTTATAGAATTTTCTTCAGCGACATCACTAAATATAGTTTCTGTACTGACAAGTGTCAACCTTTGAATCCCAAACGATGGGCACTGGAAAATTATGTGGTTTATGTCTGCATTATGTTTATTTATCTATGCATTATGTTGAGCGCAATATGTGCATCTGCATTTGTCATCAGCTACGATCTTCATTCTGTACAGATGTGCAGGGACGAGGCAATGGCCAAACCGCAAGCGGTTAATGATCGTTATGAACTTTCGGCCTGTGTATTTAAGGCGGTTGTACCACGGAATCGTTGGTAAGTCTGGCTGTAATTCTGCGTACCATTTTCCCTTATTCACGGTAGTAATGTTCCAGTAATCCTTCCACAGTTTCTTTGACAAGATTTTAAAGTGTTGATAATAATCTGTGAAGGTTACTTTACAATCTTGTGTTTGGTCTTCGTGGTGATCTTACCGCGTCGCCTGATCCACTATCTCATTTCCGACTATGCCACTGTGTGAGGGAACCCATAAGAATTCTATACATTTTCCAATCGTTTGCAGCTTATCTTTAATTTTATACAAAATGTAATTCTGTTTATATACTAAATTACAGTTACATAAAGCAGATAAAACACTTTTAGAATCACTAACTATCAAGATATTTACACTATTTACATTGGTATTTACATATGACAAAGCAGCTAATATAGCCCAACTTTCTGCTGTAAAAATACTACAATTACTTGGCAACTTCATACATTTAATAACTTTCATTTGTGAGTCATAAAATGCTGCTTTAACAAGATCACTCTTGGAGCCATCAGTATATATAGTGTAGAAGTCTTTCTTTTCATTTAAAAATTCTAAGAATTCATTCTTAGTACTAACCGAATCTAAATGACATTTTATATCAAGATAATTAAGTAATGTATCATATAGGCATTTGTAAACAGGCCACTTGTTACTGATGTACATATCTCTTGTCTGATTTTTTACACAAGTTGTTATTGTTGTTAATTCAGGCAATGTACCCGAAATAAGAGTATTAGCCGAGATGTTGGCTGTTCCAATTAACTGGGAGACTTTTGCAGGATATAAAACATTACTCAGGACAATATCATTGCTACAAGACAACTCCTTCAAACAGAATCTTTCAGCCAACTGCAAACGCCGCAAGGACAATGGAGGTATGCAATTTTCAACTTCCATAGAAACAATAGGAGTGGTGCGCATGGCTCCACTGATTATTCTCAGACCCATATTTTGTATCACATCCAATTTTCTTAACAATGTGCTACTAATATTCATGTAAGCTAGAGAGCTATAGTCAAAGTGACTCCTTACAATACTTTTATACAGCATGCTAAGTGTTTTTGGATCAGACCCCCAAAAGGTTCCTGCTAAGCTTCTTAGTACATTTATGCTCTTCATGGCATTCTGACAGATATAGTTGATATGCTTATCAAATTTCAGTTTATCATCTAGCACAACTCCTAAAAATTTATGATGATTGGCTATAGGAATTGCATTATAATTGCAAAAATATTTACAAAATTATTATAGAAATCAATAGGTTCTGTACCATGTGTATTTCTAAATTACAAAATCTCGTTTCTGATAGTTCTTGATATTTAGACCAATCTGCTTTATTATAAATGTATTTTTCTTCCACAGGACGCACTTCATATATAGAAGGCTTCACATTTAGAGCGACCACAGTTGGGTAGTGGTAACTGCCCATCGGGTCGTCATGGACGTGCCATTCACAAAGAGGAGTTAACGCAGAACTAACCAGAGCTAAATCTATTGCCGACTGATTTCTGTTATATGGTGGATACTGGACAGTTGTAGCTGTGTCACCATCATTCAGAATACACAAGTCAAAGTCACCAGTAAGTGCATATAAACTGTTACCTCTATTATTATTTGTCTGACATCCAAACAGGATATGGTGCGCATTAAAATCTCCCATAATAAGACATGGCTTAGGAGTTTCAAGTAGCACCTTTTTCATTTTGCTAGTAGTAAACCTGCTGCTATTGGGAGGACAATATACACATAGAATATGTAACTTACCCATAGTTGTGTCTAAGGAAATGCAAATATTTTGCACAGATTCGAAAAAAGTTGTATTTACAATAGTGTATTTTAAGTTTTGTTTAATTAATATACCTACTCCATTATGTTCATTTATTGAGTTTTTGTGTATAAAATTATAGGGTGAAAAATCGGGAATTGTACTAGTTGTTTTAAGCCAGGTTTCATTTAAAAGACAGATATCTATATGTTGTTCTGAAAGAAATTTTTTAAGTAAGGCCCTTTTGTTCTGTAAGCTCTGTATGTTATATTGTGCTATATTCAAATATGTATCCATTATGGTATTAAATTACTTAAAAGTATGTCTTTAATTCTTTTATTTGTAATCGGAGCGCTGCTCTTGTCATTGCCAAGCATAACTAATGATTTGACTAGCGCATTAATAATTAACTCGTTGTTTAGTATTTGCTCAGCATTATATGGTACTTTATTTATGTCAGTATCAATAGTCTTTACAGGTTTAAGGTTTGGGAATGCTCTCGGGTCGGGCATTGCTGGGATACTCACCACAGCGGCATACGATCGGTTTGGTTTTAAATACTTATTCTTCTTCTCTTCCATCTTTTGTTGCTTCACTGGACAGTCCCTAGAGATGGCTAAGTGACCACCTTGACAGTTGATGCACACAATTTTTTCGACGTCGCATTCTTTGTAGGAGTGTTGTCCGGAGCACGAAGAACACATTTGAGAACCTCGGCAGACTTTCGCAGAGTGATTAAACTTCAGGCATTTGTAGCACTGTAGTAATGGAGGGATGTATATGTGAACCGGGTATCTGAACATTTCTGTATGTAGGCGTGCTGCGGCAGCGCTGTCGCAGCGAAGGTCACTGCAATGGTCCCCAGCGGAGTGAGCTTTCCATCTACCTTTCGCATAAATCTCTTGACGGAGATGACTTCTGCATCGCAGGTAATGCTTTTGTATATGTCTTCATTGCTTAAGTCTTTAGGTACGTATCTTATGACTCCAGTAATTTCAGTTGAGGCGCAGGCACAAATGCTTTTAATTTGTGTTTTCCCAGAAAGTGTGTCATGGTAAGGAAGTTATTGGCCGGTGCTGGTTTTCTGAACATTATGCCTACTTTATATGCGTTCACTCTGTGGACGCCAGCGATTCCTTTTACATTTTCCGTAAATAACTTTGTAAGTGTTATTGGATTTTTGTTACCAATTTTTTCGCTTTCTTGTGATTCAACGTAGACTACGCAGTCTACGCTGTGGTTTTCTGGGAATTGTCGCGTGTAATTTGTTTTTGTGAAAATTTTGTAGTCGACGGCATTTCCTTTGCGAGTATCGGGCAATTTCCTTTTCTTTGATTTTTGCTCGGTGGGGGTCGGGCCCCCGTCGGAATCTGGATCCATTGTATTTACACTATATATAGGTATGTACTAATTAACTATTTACACGGAAATTTACAAAATATATACAAAATAAAATGAAATGAAAATTCAGCAAGAATTAAAACACCCGCTTAACTTGACTTCCCGCCTTTTTTTTTCCCAGCTACAAATCATAGAGCCAGCGTTGCCAGATGCCTTGTACCTTTTATCTGTATTAGAAACTACCAAAAGCTGTATGCTATTTAAACTTAAAATCTGAATAATATCTGTATAATTAAATAAACCAAAATAGATAATTGATTATCATCATCATTGTTTCTTTTGAAAAACAAGGAATAACTTCCTATAAGTAGGACCTACTACTACTAGGATAGGGTTTGATAATTGTTATTAAATAAAAATATACTTATTTTACTATAAAACTTTTATATAGCAAAATTAAGACCATTAATTTAAACAAAAAAAGACGTGTGGCACTCGGGGACTGCCGCGGTAAAGCTATTGCATAGCATTTTTTATCAACTTATGCAATTATAATTAATTATTTATTTTATTTATGCAGTTAAGTCTTTGATATTAAATCAAGTTACACTTTTTGAGCGTGGTGACCGATAAGAAAACAATTTTTTTTCTCTTATTGTATAAATGAGAAGTTAATATTGTTAAAAATATTTTTAATATCTTACAATACATGTAGGTTATTCAGGAATTATTATCATTCAGTTAGCAGCTAGTGTACACGCATACGACTAGTCGCACGCACACAAACACCTGGATGCCAGTGCCGAAGTCTGCCGAACTGAAACGAAGTTAGACGATGCACGCCTTTCAACGCCACACCTCCGTGCCCGTCGGAGTGGGGAGCGTGAGGTTTTTTTCGTTACGGAATTTCTGGATTCGGTCCCCGCGCTCAAGGCCCGCGATAGAAGCTATGCAATAGCTTAAAATATCTAGGATTCCCCAGCCGTGATACATTACAGATTGACTATATTATCATTTATTTTACTATTGTAAATAAGTACTAATTGTAGATATTGACAGGTTTAATAGAAGTTCATTTTCTTATATTGTGACTTATAACCTAATATGACCTTGGGAAGAAACTCATTTTAATATAAGGTTTTACTGC